GCGATAAAAAAAAGTCATTCTCACCGATGACGCTTCTGGCACAATACCAGGAGACATATGTAGCCAGAGCACAATCTGCACCAACTCTTCAGAGTTGTGTGGCAGCCCCACCATCCCACCTGGTGAAGTTAGAAAATTTGTGGCTACAAATTTAATCTTCTGAGGGGCATGGGCAGCCACAACGGCTACCTTCTTGGTCGTCGCGTCCCAAATGCGCTTACCCACATGTTCCCGTCTAACGCTGGGCGGCTGGTTATCCGGGGAACGACCCAAAACGAGATATTCTTTGGTCAGCAGCGTACCTCCCTCCATCACAGTCTCTGTACATCGAGACTCCCAGGGTAAGAATCAAGCAACCGTAGCCAGTTCTTCATCATCAGGAATAAGAATAGCCTGGAAGTTTCACCACTGGCGCTTTTTAGGGCCATTATAAGTTTTTACGTTCCCTACTTAATCATCAATTTCATCGGTTCTTTTTAGGATCCACCTAAGTGTAAACTACCTTGCCAACAAATACATTTTTACTACCATTTCCGGAAGCGATTCGTTGACTAAAAGACTATATTAACTAAAGACAGGCACTATTAAACCAAGTCAGCCATTCACTAGCAGACGTCACCTGCGGAGTTGTTCTTCGCAAGGCTGGAAAACCCGGTGACCGACGACCCTGTATGTATTACCCTCTCGACTCTAAGCATTCAACCAGGAATCACTGATCCTCTCCAATGTCTGCGTTGGGCAAACCTATAGCAGCTATGAAGGAAAAAAAACTTGAGCCGACGGGACAGCCTCCACTGGACAAGTATCACTAACCAATCTCCCTATCTAAGATCACCAAAACAACTGAATCTGCAAATAAAAAAGGTGCTTTAGACACCAACGTCTTGGACGTTATACCGGGAAACGTTAGGAAATAGCACTACAACTAGCCCCAAAGCTTTGGACTTTGTAATTTTTTTCTCATCAGTCTTGGTCTTCAACAGCAAGCCAGAGAAGATCACCCTGAGGTATCCAGGCAGTCACAATTCCTGTTAACTGAAGTCAAGGAAGAGTTTACTTAAGAAGCTCACTGGTCTTTTTTAGGGCCATCGGACGTCGAACTACCTTGCCAACAAATATATTAGAACTTAACAAAGTTGACAGAAAACACACGTTAGGGGTCACACAAATTTTAAGCATGCCAAAAGTCGCAAGAGGGTGAATTGGAAGAAAAACTTCAAGTGTATCTAATAAATACAATTTTACTTAGGCATCAAGAAACTGACGCAGACAATTTATCGAGATTGAAACAGCAGCGTCAAAATTGACAACTAAAGAGTCCATTACGTGAGAGATCAGCTTTTCATTGTACCCTCACAGCAATCTCTGAAATCTTTAAAGATCCTACTTCAGATTTTTCAATAAGTAGAAAATGTATTTGTGTTTTTGTGGCAATAAGAAATGTAGGGTTTAAGGTCCAGGACTTTGTTGCTCTGGTAATAAAGTTGTGAGATAAGAGAAAAAAAATTTTTTTTTAATATGAATTTTTTGGGAGTTTAAAATCTTAACAGCTTTAAAAAATAGCCCTTTTCGTGAATTACACGGGTGAAACTGCAAATCAACGGCTCCTTATGGCCACCGATTATTTTATGGCATAAAGAACGCACGGTACTTTTCAGCATAATTATTTTTTTGAATTTTTACACCTTATTATTTGACCAAATAAACTATATGGATTCCGAAAAAATTTGTTTTTAATAAGAAGATTTTTGTTCTGAGATGTGTCGGGAATATGTGTAAAATTTCTAACTGAAAAAGTTTCACATTACATGTCAACACACTACGGTGTTTTATTTAGTAAGGCTCGGGCGAAGCCGAGACGGGGGGCTGCTAGTACGTAGGGGTAAGTGTACATATTTCTGTGGTCTGCCCTATTACCGTGCATTTACAAAAATGCTGTTTAATTTTTGAAAAAGTGTAATAGCGGTCGCAAAAAAATTATTTGATATTAATATCCAAGAATAGCTCAAATTAGGATAAAAATGTAATATTTATATGATTAATTTATAGAGAAAATCATATTTATGCACGGTATTAGGTACCAAGAGTATGTTAGACGGTCGTGTGCGTATTACCGTGGTGAGGCCTGTGATTGAGACATCCACGGTAATATGTACACGGTAATAGGTACATGACCACGGTAATACCTGCATACTATTTTTGTTAATTTTAATAATAATCCATTTAATTTTTAGTCTCGAAAAAATTTTTAAATAATCTTTAAGAGTTTATGCAAGACTTAAGAAAAAAGTCCTTAGTATTTTGTCATTACTCAATATTTTATGATGCATTTAATTTGGATTTCTTAACATACGCCACGGAAATAGGTACACTTACCCCTAATATAAGGTCAGGAAACTTAAGAGGTATAGAAAAGAAATAATGTAGTTTTTAAGAAAGTTAACTTTTTCCTGGTAAGATTGAAGTATTTGCGTGTATAGAGGAAATACTAAATCCATATTAGTAGAAGTTCTATAAAAAAAAAATCCAAAAAATTGTGGGTTTTTTTTATTCACTGAATCTTAAACCAACAGTTTATTTGTAACTAGATTATTTTTTAATATTTTCGTATTTATCAAAAATGTTTGTCTATGTAAACATCAAAATAGAGGTAACTTCCCATAAGTGCTTGTGTTAGTCACATGATTTTTATTTGTATAATTCTTGTTAAAATGACATGAACAAAGTATTGAAAAAATTCATAGTAGTCCAATGTATTTTAGATTACCTAGAAAAATCGACATTACCATTATCTCTAAATTTTATTATTCCTCTCGAACTTCCTTAAAAAAACTGTTTTCTTAATCAAAGTGCGTTTTTATTCAATGAAAACATATTAATTCTTCACAGAATTCAGTATCAAGAAAAATTTTTTCTTCCAGATATCATATAATGCAAAGTGATTTATACATTTATTTTTATTGTTAAGTATTTAAAATCAAATAATTAAATACTTTTTCAAGTTCTTTGCCCTTTTCTCTCTAAATTGTGTTACCTTTCAAATTGTAATGCATTATTTTCACAATGTCTTAACGATTTTTTTTGTTCAGAATCCACTTATGCATTTAAAGTTAAATATTGAATGTTCTTCATTTTATTTTCATCTTAGATTTATTAAATTGATACTTCTTATAAGGCACAACGTGAACTATAATCGTGAACTATAATAATATACATTATAGATGAAATAACTTCGTTTGTTCGGATCAATTAGCAGCACAGCTCTTTTTTTTAATTTTTTCACAGTTTTTCTCGACTTTGAAAAATTTTGTATTTTCGGTAAAACCATTTCGGTCGTTTTTCAAAACTTTCAACAGTATACATTTGTTACTAGTTTGTACCCATTCGAATTTTGATTACTCATAGACGAAGTTTTGTAATAGACACGTTATCACAGATTGAGATATCATGATAACACATGCATATGTGTGTGTATGCGTTTTCTGTAGTTTCGAATTGCTGTAGGGTTATTCTAAGTAGTGAAAATGTTTGTGCGTGTGTTTATGTGTCTATCACCCATATTCTCAGAATTCTCTAGACTAATTTCAATGAATTTTGGCCAATTTTTTTGTTTTTCGATACCAATTATCACTGAAAACAAACATTTTCAGTTTATCAATTTTTCTTCACTTCTGTTTTATTTATTCGAATTTTCATAAAAAAATCGATTGTTCAGATTTTTGTCGTTGTTTTGGAATATTTTAAAATAGATTAATCTAAACGAATATACATTTTTTTACAAGCAATTGTATTTAGATCAAACTGTAAACGATTAGGCACGTTGGTATAAACAAGTGTACAAGCACTAGTTATTTTTCAGGATTACATTGATACATTTCAATAACGCTAAGATTTTATTTATTCTTGGATACCTTGAATGACGTTACAGAAAAAATTAAAAATTCTAATGATTTAATAAAAAAAAAAATCAGACTTGCTACACAGATACCCGTGCTGCTTATCTTGCAGATGACAGATTTGTTGAAAGAAGGAACATTGACCACAGTTTCGGTTTAATTTATTGATAAATAATCCAAGAAGTCCACGTAAAGAAAAAATGAAAAATAAAAAATTTATATTTAAAATAAATTGTGTACACAAATAAAAGTTTACGAAAAAAAACAATTAAGCCTTGTGTTATTAAATCGGCAACGATTTTCCTTTTAAGTAAAAAAAACACGTACCTTGCTATTTCTGGAACTTTTCCACCGTTTTTTCACTCTATGAATATGTTTCGATCTAAGGATCAGTATGTAATTGAAATTCAATAAACAGTTTTTTATGGTCAATAAAGACACGATTGGAGAACTAGGGGTAAACGGTACAGTTGTTGACCCCCCGATAGTGATTGACCGCCACATGCATTTTTAAATGGAGCCTTTATATATATTATAGATGTACAAATTATACAGGGGTCAATCACTACCTAAGGTGTCAATAACTGTACCGTTTACCCCTATCTACTAACGATTTTTAAACATTCTAATGATTAGTCTTGAAATTTTTCCATCAGTAGGAAACTACCGTTATCATTCAATTACGACTAAAACAAATGGAATTTCGAATCAACGATTGGTAAAATACCCATTTCATCTTCGAAAAAAAAAAAAAATTGAAAAATTTGTGCGCAATTTTTTACTGGACGCTCATTCGATACCGATGCCATCCTAGCCTGCTACCTCAACACCTGTACGGATTATTTTCCATTCCACTTTACTCTCGTTCGCCCGCTCCATTGCAGCCCAAGCGCTTCGACGCACGCACACTGCAAAGAGCCAAGCAGCAGCTGTTTCGCCAGTTTCTCCGCATGTGTATAAGTGCGCACACGAGCGTTGAACAATACAAAAGATTGTAGCCAGTTGTAGCTCGACAGTTCAGCTCTGGTGATCGAGCGGCAAGGCTCGGCGTACGTATAATATGTGCACGCTCTCACTGGCGTCTCTTTTTAATCCATAACTACTTAATAACACACGAGCATTATCCGGTCCAAGTGGAAAACTCGGTGGGTTTGATTACACACTCTGGTCGATCGTACGTGTCGTACAGTGAGTTTTTTCCTCTGTTTCGCCTTTGCCTTGGCTTTCCTCCATTTCCAAAGGTGTTGTCAATGGACAATCATACTTACAGTGCTTCCAGTGCGGGAGTGATGTGTGAGTGTCAGTAGTGTCACGGCTTAGAGACATGGCTCAAATTTCAATGTCGGAGAGTTGCGTGGAATTTTACTTCATTCCCCTTTTTTTACAAACACGTGAAATTACATTAAGCAACATAAAACGCGTATGTTAAAATTTAAGTTTTTTGTGTTCACGACCCGTTTGACATCATAAACAATTCATGTACATACGCACGCGAGCGTAATATATATTATTTACTTCTGTACCCTACTTTCCATTTGTTTCCCTGACAAATCGTGTGTGTAAATTAGCCGTCAGATACACAGCAAAGTTGACCTGATTGGCAAACTTTTTCCGACAACGTACAATACTTGAAAAATATCCACGCTCGTCGCAATAAAATTTCAATAAAGATAAATTGCTCACGTCCTGCGGGAACAGTTTTGTCGCGACCTACTCGGCCATCGTATATAGTTTCCTATAAGCAAGCTCGGGATATGCGAGCCGGATTACTTGTGTACCTATATACGTATGAAAAATAAATCCACCCGTTTAGGCTCACGTACTACGATTTTGCGATTGACATGCTCACGCTGCACACTCACGAGAACGATATATTTACATACTTAGACATTATTGATTTTCGAGACGCATGTGCACGAAGGAGTTAAAATAGCTTTGCTCGGGTGCTGAGGCTGGAATTCGTATACGACTATAGTCAAATCTCGTGTCGCGTTTACGACAAAGAGCAGCTAAAAAATTATCCTTGAAGCACACAGTCATACCTGTCGTTCTTACAGTTTTGCCATTCTCATGATTTTAAATGAAGCGTCTTGTAAGATACACAACGCGCAATCGTGTAATTAAAATGTCATTAAACAGCCAGACCATTAACCCATGCCGATTGATAAGCAAGTATCTATGATTGTCTAGGAATTTTTGACAAGTTTAAACAATATTATGAATTTAAGTGTTTTGGAATATGATTTTTTAAATGTTTAATAAGAATCCCGGTCCTAGTTTTTTTTTTTTTTTTTTTTTTTTGTAAAATTTGTCATAGTAGTCGCACAGTAAAGTTTTTAGAACGAGCAAAGGCCTAGTTAATCGATTCTTTTACTGACATGTATAACCTTTTGATACAAAACAAATGACACAGAAAGGTTGTGCAGCACTCAACACCTCTGGAATAGATTTAATTAGCTTGCAAGCGTGTTAAATTTGTGATAATCATTCGTGTGTTGTACAGCCTTCGTATGTTAACTTTTTCCATTGAATGTGTACCATGTCGATAAAACTTATTGTACATATTAGACCGATTTTATTGCTCCTTGAAGATGAAAAAAGTATAATTGTGGACTAACAGTGATCTGCAGGAAAAAAGTATGCGAATTGAAAACGAATTTAAAAAAGGGATCAAATTCAAGACTCGAACGTTAATTCCAATCTAAGTAGTAAAATAGGGGGAATAGGAGGAAAGCAAAGAGAAAAAATGTATAAAAAAACGAAAAATAATTAACAAGAGTGTATCTTCCTCGTCAAATACGTACAGATACTGAAACAAAGTTTCAAGATTTTCTTGCTCGTGGAATGGCGAGTCAGGGACGTAAAGACGTCGACAATCACTCACAGGTGTAAAGATGTACAAAGGATTCGATCCCGACGATACCACCGATTGTCAGCCGCAGCAAGAAGATGCATCTTACGGGACGGTACTGCTCAGCACATTTGTCATTCGCAAGAAAAGATGCAGGGTTTATTTTCACAAAAGTACGCTTATATGGGAAACTGAGCGACCGCCTTACAGTAAGTATTGAATTTTTTTTTATTATTATTATTATCATTATTGTTTAGACGAGATTCATGTTTAATTTTCCTCTTTGAATATGTTAGACGTACTCCATAAGTAGCTGGAGTTCCTTAAATGGACGACCTTTTGTTTCTCTGTTTATTTATTATTACTCGTAAATGTATTCATTATAAAGCGTAGGAACCTGTCAACGTAAGGAATTACAAGATGATTTTCATCCTCTGGTTATATTCAAGGGACACTTGCTTGACGTCCAGTTTTCAAAACATTAGGCTAATTTTAATTAAGAGTTATTTTTTACAATAAACTTTGATTCATAAAACAAATGCATGACAACGACTTTTTACGAGCACGCATACGTATGTGTTATTATTGACAAACGTTTTAATAGTAATAATATTCAAAGTATAGATAAATAAAGTATACAGATTTACGTTTAAACTTTATCTTCAAATTTATTATCAATATTTCGAATTAAGGTCATTCTGGCACAAAATAGAAACCAAGGTATCTCGCTGATCTTGATTCATGTCATTGTTACAGTTTTTAGCAGCTTATTTTCAAAATTTCCGTTTGCCCCATCGTATAAAAATAAACAATTTGTGAATCCTTACTAGTACAATAATAATTAATGTAACGATTTCATTAAATCATCCTTGGTTTGGACAAAAAGGAAAATGTAAAATATAAATGACGGTAATAACGCTGTATGTCATTTACAGAATAAGTACGTTACAAACATTATTTTTGAAACAAGATAAAAATAGACATACTACATAGTAAAAAGTGATTATTATATCAAACAGTGGTTATTATTTGGGAATTAAAATAACTACTCATCAAAATACGTATCATTAGAAAATATGTTCAATGAATGCGTGAAGCGAACCTGATCTGTTTAATATTTTTAATCAGAGATTAAACAAGCAGCTAAAAACCAAAACTTCAACTTTCACATCCAAGACATGACTGCTGTATTTTTTACTAGAGAAGAAGGTGTAATCATATCCGTATGAATTTTTAAATTTATTTCAATTCACGAGTATTAGCGCCACTGTAAATTATCGTTATTCAGGCATGTTCACATAATATAAGATATAAATGTGTATTACCGGAGTGTAGAACAACAAAAAACAAAACTATCCTCGACTACACTTAAATCTGGAATATAAGCTATATCAAAGAAATTGAATTTTTTTTCTTATGTCATGTTGAAATATTTACTTCAATTTTCTTCAATATTCGTATTTTTCAAAAATCTATAACTTTTCTATTCACAACTTTGTATAATGTCAATTCATACTGTAACATGTAAAAACTTTTTTTTTGTTTTTAAATGTTTATTGCCTACTAGTAGAAAAATTTTATTTCAATAAGATTTACAATTTTTTCGATCCATAAATAAAGACTTAATAAAAATAATAAAAGATATAGCAAAAACGGATTTTTTTTCATATTTTTAAATATTTTTTTAACTGTTAAAGTATAAAGATGGTTCTGGAATAATAAGTCAAAATATTTAAGAAATTCATTTTCTTAAGATTTACAATTTCCTTTTTTACACTGAATGTTAATTGTTATTGAGCCAGAAAAATATAACATTTTTACTATAAAGGCATAAAATTGTTTTTTTAAGGTATACATAAGTGGTTTTAAAGTTTTAATTTTTTATTTGAGGTCTATATTTTTTAAATTAAGCACTTAAAAAGTCACATGCAAGGAACTAAATTTTATGTTTTTAGGATTATGCAATCTTGGAGCTTAAAAAATTTTTCGCTTAGATTACATTTTCTGAATGTAAAACTATCAGGTTGTGGAATACAAAACAAAACTACAAATTAAAGTTAAGCCCTGTTAGACGTAAATTTTTACAGATAGTCGATTTACATGTCTTTGTACTCATACATACGTACGTATCACTCTCGTATTGAATTCCAAATTTGTTTCACGTAAAAAAAATAATGTATAAGTGGTTACGCTTTTAATTCTAGTGAGAATAGATGGCACTCCTGTGAAACAGTTATGCCCAAAAATTTGAAAACTTTTATCAAAGAGATGATAATTACACTAATAAGAAACTAAATTTAAAATTATATAGAGAATCTGTAAAATAATATTAACCAAAAACAGGTAACCTTTATCATCATCAATGCAAAATGGAGTTTTTATTTATATTTTAACCTATAAGAACGAATTCTAACTGTTTGTTACTGTAAACCACAAGAATATATTTCTTGTCCCTGAGAGAAAAAACGGTATAATAGTAAAACTTGTTACGTTAACAATATTAACGTACTAATTCCTAAATAGTTTCAATATCTCATACGTTAATAATGAATGAGTGAAGTTTCTATGAGCTTTTGGTAAGTTTATAGTGACACTCTCTCAAAACAACAGCACGACATTACGGTACGTTCGTAGTTAACTTACGACGTTGATAATTAGCTTTTATTTCTTTTAGTATGGCGTTTAAATTACATAACATACTGACTTACACAATGAACTGATAATAGATATGTCATTTGTATTAGATAACTAAAACTTCATTGACATTTTTCATGAATTTTCCAAAAGGCTTACTTAAAAGAAAATTTTATTTTTGTGAACAACTGAGTAATGACTAAAGGAATTGTTATGTTACCTTTGAAAAAGAAAATAAAGCTATTAGTATACATTTACTAAAATGTGATGGAATCCATCAATAAATTAAGGAGGTGTACAAATACTAGAATCAGTATTAAAAATAATAATTTTAACTATTGGTTTAACGAGTGCAAAGAAATATTCATCAAGTTGTCAATTATTAAAACATTTTTTATAAACATCAAAATTTATATTAAAAAAAACATCAATATAGTTTATTATACTCTAATACGCAGGGATAAAAAAAGTGATTTACATGGCTGAGTTACATAAATAATTATTACAATTGAATAAATTTTTTTTCCATGCATGCACTGAAAAGGAAGAATAACTTTTTGATCAGGAAACGTATGAACATTGTCCAAAAAAACTTTGATTTCCTCCAAAGGGGACGAATTAATCAGTTTAGAGTGTACAAAAAGTAGCACGTATTGAACTCAATAATAGTTTGTAATTTTTCAACGAAAATTACTCTGTACTCAATGCAAAAGTTTTTTGTGAAAAATAAGTTTTTTTAACAAGCACATATCTGATTTAACAAACATTTGTGAGAAGAATCTTGTACATGCCGTGTAAAATAGAACTTCTGACACAAAAAAAGATAAATAAAATTTTTTATTTAAGCTGCCATCAGGTATCCAAATTTTAAATTTTAAACTCAAAATAATTATCTTCTGTCAAAGGGATTTTAAGATGGAACTGAGCACGTGAATCTCTATTAACGTGTTTTTGAATAACGTATTTAAATATTTTGCACCAAAAAATACATTTCTAACATGGTCTCTGAAGAATTAAGTTTTTTACTGATGTACAAAATTCTCCTCGTACGAGAAAAAGGCACCACCCGCTTCTCCAATCACTATACTGGCTAGGCGATAACTCTAACTATCCATGATCTCGACAAATGTCACATTTATTATTCCTGCGAAGTTATTTCATGCATACAAATTAGCTACTTGTTCAGTTTTTCCTCCATATCGTCTAGCATTATAATTTTTAGGAAGGTAAAAAAAAAACGAATGTAAAAAAGTAATTTTTTTTTTTGCAGAAAGATGGACTCTACTGCTGACGGACGTCATAGCTGTGAACTTCGGCAATGGGTTTGGCAAAGACGAGCCAGGCTTGATATCGTCATCGAGCCCAAATCCACCAACGACTTTTGTTTTACACTACGCAGCCCGAGGTGCTCAACACAAATGGAGCCACCATAGCGTTGCCATGAGCCACGATGATCCTAGACAGATCGCTTCGTGGGTAAAAACAATTAGGAATTGTCTTGCGAGTGAGTTTTCGTTTAATTTTTTTATTTCTTCATTTATCAAATTTTTACTGTGAAGCTAACGGTTGGTAGTTCATGCTTGTAGCTTGTGTATTTTGGAATCGAATAAGAGATTATCACGCGGGATATCATTAGAAATAAGCTAGGATGTTTTTTGGTTGTTCACCTTGAGATTGAATAATTAAATGAGTGTTTCTTTGAAATTTTGCGCTTTATGTACTTTTCTTCGAGTCGTATCCACGTCTTTCCAGTTTTTTTTTTAGAATAAATTTATGAAGAAGGTATAGGTATAGGTATATAGAAGGTAGAGCTCTTATTTTTTGTAACTGAATATACCTTTAAATAACATTTTTTTTAATGTCTTAGATTTTTCAAGGTTAGTATACAGTACCGATGTTTTTCAAACTATGACATGATAGGAAAATTTATTGAGTATGTAAAATGCAATGTTTTATAATTTCACGTAGTATCGTAAAAGTAAAAAATAATTAAAAAAAAAAAAAAAAAAAATAGTCCCTACCTGATACTCAAAGTATAATTCTTTTATCATTATATTAGTTGCAGTTTATGAGAAGTGGTGTTGTTTTTGTAGAAATACGTTTTTGTTGGAGAATTGTGTTAATTTACTCTTGATAAAGAATTGTAAGGATTTTTGTTCAAATATTTTTTTTGAAATTTCTCATCGCTATATACTTTAATGAATCATAAATAAAAGTAAACAAAAATAGTTGTACAGTAGTGAAAAATATATAATCTACAAGCCAAATAGGCTGGCACCAGCATGCTCATTGGATTACAATACCTAGCAAGAGTAACAAACGACAGATTCTACTTGATATCGATCAATATACTGTTACTGATGAAAAAATTAGCTGTACTTTTAATTTTATGTAATTAAGCAATTTTTAATTATTTTCTGTTATAAAAGTACGTACTTTGCTTTAGCATTCAATTTTTCATATTTAAAAAAAATTTTTTTAATACTTATATATCAGACGCACTTTGTATGATCTAAGTTATTGTTACAACTTTTATAATTGTTTAAAATTATTTTTCAATTTTATTGCTCGATAATTAAAGCATACTACTTAGAGATAAAAATTTTGTTTTGATACATGGATAAACTAATTTACGTATCATAGAATTATCAAATAAAATATAAACAATGGGTGAAAAGCATTTTTTTTTTAATAAAAAGTATGCGTCGTGTACAATCGATACTACAAAATGACAAAGACGACTAATTTTATTTAATATCATCATTAATTAATTACAAGTATTTGTTTGGTTTGTTATTCGAAAAAAAAAAAATACAAATAAAATAATATATTGCTCTAGATCATTTTGACATTATAAATTTATGGCATTTCATCGTTTTAAAAACTTTTGAGTCATCTGTTGACCAAAAACAGTATAGTTATGTTTTATCAATATCGAACTTTCATTTTATGACAGAACTGCCTTTTAAGGGGGTTAGAGCGAAAAACAAATTTCTTACGACAGTCTTCAAAAAATTATAACGTGTTTGTTTTTTCATTTTATTAACAACATAGTAAAATATCAGGAACCGTAGTGTCACAGTTTTTGAGAATAAAAATAGTAAATTTAGGATCTTATTTAGGCTCTTACGAGAACGTCGTTGCGACATTTACATTTTCACCAATAACTTGGAAAATATTTTTACAAATCTTACAAAAAACTAGTATGTTATTGTAAATAAGAAAAATATATCCAAATTTGAGGAAGCCTGCCGTCATTGTTTGAGTAATACTTTAATTAAAAGTTTCAACAAAATTCTATTAGTATATCTATGTACAGCAGATGAGTAATAAAACATTGCGATAATTTTTAATTTAAACTAACTTTTCAAGCTGACTGTACCACTCTAACCGCCTTTATCGAACGATAGTTTAATCGATAAATATTAAAATTAAAAGATAATTGTGCCCGTATGAGAAATAGATACTAGATCGAATATTACATCAGATCGGTATCTCACAGTGCTTGAATCTGTTTTTACTTTTTCAATAAAATACTGTAGTTACTGTACATCTACTCATTTAGTTAAAATACATTTTACAGGCTATACACGATTTACTTTGAGTTTTTAGTTTTATGCAATGAGAAAAGTTTTTTACATTTCATTGTAGGTTTCAAGAATCGGCCAAAGAAAATACTCCTCTTCGTAAATCCTTACGGTGGTAAGAAAAAAGGTCTAGAAATTTGGGAAAAACAAGTGCAGCCACTGATGACTATAGCTGGTATTGAGTCCAAAGTTGTTATCACAGAGAGGCAAGGTCACATTCGTGAAATCCTGCTTACAAATGAAATCGATAGCTACCAGGTGAGAAATAGTTATTTACGTTACAAGTCGGAAAAGATGATTTCCGGCACGTGTAATGATTGACGCGCACAAGGGGCCGAAGTTGCTGGGAACGAGTTACTGGCATTGGCCACGAGTGCGAGTCAATCACACGAGTGCGGGAAATCCTCCGCACGAGTAACGTAAAAAATTTTTTGTAATATATGTTAGGAAAATTGATATGAATTTTAAAATATGTAGTTTAAATAATAAATTTGAAGCTTATGCGCTTTGCATTATTTATTTACACGAGCAGGGTACAATAAATATTATCATAATGATTTTATCCATCATTGATAGTTAAGTGAATCTAAAGTAAAAAATAAATAATTCGCAAGTAGGTTGTGCGGGGTCCAGGGGCGACAGCCCCTGGCAGGGGCTCAGGGGACTGAGCTCGCGATGGGGATACGGGGGGGAGCCCTCCCTCGACCCAAAGAATCAAATGATTGTTCTTTTAAAAACAATTTTATTACCATTTTCCAAACAAAAAAAAATATACTAGATGGAATGAAGGTATCAAAAAAATAATAATTCCCACCAAAGAGCAACATTGTACTACGCTATGTCCTTGTAAGAACGAAACCGACTCCATTATCCAATTATTCGCTGTTCAGCGTTACAAATATAAAGTAGTCGTTCAAAAAAAAAAACATTTTTTTTTTTTGAAAACTATATAAATAATTTTGATTGTATTAGAATCTTATAATTTTATTTCAAGAATCTTGCATTTTAACTGTCTAATTATATAACATTAAAATTGAANAATAGTAGTTTTCCTACGAGTTTGAAAAGTCTCTGTTTGCGAACCGAGAGGTTTGCGGCCCGAGCCGAAGGCGAGGGACGTAACGAGGTTCGTAAAGGAGACTTTTCGAACGAGTTCCGGAAAACTGCTTTTTCGCCCGAGGAAGTACCAGCCTCCCAAAACCACCCGAGGGCGGAAAAATATGTTGTGTATAACAATAGATAGTTTTTCTCCTTATTCGCTCCAAGCCGATACAGAGGTTGCGCTCTCTCTAGCCAAAGTCATGTAAAAATTTTTACAAACAAACAGCCTAGAGCATATATACATGCGTATGACTGCCTTGTGATTGGCTGAACGAGGCAACAGGAGGGAATCGTCGTGTTTTCTGTTTATGGGGATAGCAACCTGCGACCTAGCAAGCTTGGCTCAGATGGCGCCAGGGAGCCAAGACTCCAGATAATAAAGTTAAAGAAGACAACTCATACATTCTATACATCTATATATACATGATGTTTATCTTCTGCTGTCTGCTACGTGCCAAAATAAATTTTTTAGAGTAACACAACATTGAACAGAAAAATGCATGGTAATTGTTTAGTGAAAAGATGTTCTTCTAAAAAAAGATTCAAATTTCCAACTGACCCTGTAATTAGAAAGACATGGGTATTGGCGTTAAATGTAAAAAAGCTGGATTTTGGAGTTCAAGGTTTTGAAAATGGCGCTGTTTGTTCTGATTGGTTGGAGTCTTGGCTCCCTGCTGCCCTCTCACGTTCAAAAGTCGTTGGTTGGGTCGGTCCTCGGTCGCCATCCCCATAGCCTCGCAGCGACGTAGCCTGTCAAGTGCCAATTACAAGCATATATACGCAAGAATTTTTGTCTGATACTGGCTAGAGAGGATACGTAATCAGAGCGAATAATCACACATATCATTGGTTAAAAGGTCAAAAATTGAAGAAAAAAAAATTAGTTCAGATTGAGAAAAATAAATTTGTTTTATAAGAAAGCTGGAATATGTTACATCTATAACGTCTGACAATTTATTCTACAACCAAATCCCTTGAAGATTCATGTGAAATAAGTCACAGCAAAGTCTATCTATAGTATATAAAAATGCACAATTTAATTCTTTAGCATCCATCACATCATTTGATTATTCTAATTGATTACTATCTTATCCAAGTTTGCTTCCTTATTGTTCAATATACCAATTCAGCAGACTTTAAGGCAGTACTGTTGATTTGGGGTTAATCCAATAAGCGCTTAACTCTTATTATATTTACGTGATGTCTAGATATGGCAACACTACTCGTTGCTTCTAGGTAATAAAAGCCAAAGACAGACGCTTGCTTGCTTACACTGTAATGTATTTGCTAACTATGTATTGCACATTATTTATGATTCGCAATTCCATCCAAGCGAATATTTTTTTTGTGATTAAGTAACGAAAAAAAAATACTAACTTTTACAGTATTTTATAAAGTCCAAATTGAAGACTATAATAATGTTTAATGAGTGTTATTATTAGTTATTACTTTTTTCGTCATAAATGTCATTAGAAATAGAAACATAGAAAAAAGTAGTCACTAGAAATAACTTTTATAGTTAATTTATCACCATCTAATGAGGAATGTATGATATGAAAGCTCAGAAGGCGCCAGGGCCACTCGGTCCTGATTTATAGATGCATTAGAGTATCCGTGTGAATGTCTCATACTATATATACTATATGTCGATAACGTGGATCGTTGAACAGTAATACACACTCACATGAATACACTAATACATCCATAAATCAGATAAATCAGGACCCATGGCTATTAAGTGATGCCATGGGAAGAGAGAAAAGATTGTTTGATGCTTCGTCCTGGGAGCACACCAGGACTCATCAGTAAGGCTGATGACGTGCTCCCTGCCTTGGATACCTATATCGGTGAAGGTACTCTAGCTCATCTTCAACACCCTTATATACTAACGAACATGAAATCCGGACACTTGCGAGAAAGTTAATATTAACGGTTAGACACCTAGTGGATGGTTGGGGAAGGACGGAGAGCAGTAATGTATATGCGTGTAGGAGATTCCCCACAGAATGAATGGCCCTGGCGCCCTCTGGATTTAGCTTTCACCGTACATTCCTCATTCCTGACTTTTAAGATTTATCAGAAACTAATAGCTATTAATAAGTGTAATAGTGTTCACCACTAATACGTATCTGGCTACAACGATTACAAAGGCCCGCCTTGTGAATGATTGAATTTGCATAAATATTTAATATACATTACGAGTAATTAAATTCCATCGAGTTGTATTATACCTTTCGTTTGTGTTTCTCTAGATGAAACGTTGGAGCCTGGTAGTGTTGAAGAAGTAGACATACGAGGTTGCTCTATCGAAGCAGTCGACAGAGTCGTCAAAGCAATACTTAACTCGAATAAAATAAAGGATAAATTTGATTTGATGAATTTTAATGCAGTTACGCTGGATCATTTCCTTTGGGATTACCGAAGAAAAAATGCTGAAGAGCTGGAATCAATTCCTTACCATAAAACTAGAACGATATTTTATTAAAAATAAAAATTTATTTTGCATGTCCTCATTTGGAGCTATAAAATATGAGTGGTGCATTGAATAAAATAACGTATTGTATGGAATAATTTTTTTGTTTATTTTTTACGTTAAACACCTTCTAAGGGCATTACTATGGGCACACACACAACTTATTTATTTATTTTATTTTACCGGGTTGCCACAGACTTGTTCTATTCAAGTGCTCCGAGCGCTCCGAGCGACCCAAGAGTTATTGAGGTGTATATCTGTATTTATGGCCACGACTGTAAATATATAGGAGTTGGATAGGAACATTTTCCGGTGATAACAGTTTTTAAAAAAATCTGCACTCATCGGGAATCGAACCCATGGCCCCTACATACAATTTATTTATTTTTTTTGTTTCTCTTTATTTTCTCTATAAATTCTACGTCCTCTGATCGTTACCCGTCATTTTTTCTCGACTTTTCTAACCTCATGTGCAGGGTCTTCTCGCTTTTCTTTATTTTTATTCAGTCGACGTACCCCTACACAATATGACCCTTTTTGGTGTTTCCTATTATGTCTTCTTTGCTTTTAATTATGATTTTTTACTTATTTAAATCTGTTTCGTTTACTTGTACTCACTTTATCTCATATACTTGTGATATTTTCCGCCCGACAGCTAAAGTACCCCGTATCCTAATATATTTATTTAGTTTTTCAAGACACATTAATTTTTAATTACGAGCAAGTTTTCTAGCTATTATTTCAATAGAATATAGTATCTAGACTGACATTAATTGAAATAATTTTTTTTTTTTATATTTATAGTTTCCTTTCTTAAAAGAGCTCAAATTTTGGTTGGGGACTTGTGGGCTTGCTATCAAGGAAAAGGATTCGGCGAATTCACTGACATCGAATATTTGACTATGTTTGCCGACTACAGGGTACCACAGGTGTTAGTACACTTTGGTATACTGAAATACAGTGACAAATTGCTAAACAAATTATCACGAGGTATGTAAAGGTTTTAATTAAAAAATATTTTGTACGTGTACATGCTGGTTAGCGTGTACTTATTTTATATTAATTGCATATTCTCTCATTTGTACATGTTGTTTAATTTAAATAATTATAAAGAAAACTAAATTTAAATTTTTGGGTATCGATATAGTTCAGTTGTACAATAGGGGTTAAATAACTATATTACGGGAGTAGTCAGTTGGTTGTGAGCTATACGGCTGCTCTAATGGGTTAAATGTTCAAGTCTCTTTTGAGGCTCGGGGTGCTGACCAGTCTAGAATATCGAGTAAGGATGGAAAGAGGAGTTAAGGAGAATTAGATGGAAAAAGTCAGGACAGGAATTTTAAGTGTAATTGGGTATAGCAAAAGATGGAATTAAAGGTAATTAGTCGCGTTATATATTAACACCTTTCACACGGAGGTGGTAAAGGGTGCCCATAAAAATCACGTAAAGTGAAATCTCCCTCAATAAAAATTTGTTCTTGTGTGATATTTTCAAGAATTTTTTCCAATTTTTCTATTACATGTTTGACTCCTATATTAATTTCTAAAATTACTTCCATTTTATTATTTTTTGATTCCACAATAATCCTTCCATTAGCCTTGCTCTTGATATTGCTGCGTTACAAAACCAATTATATTTACTTATTAATTAATTTATTACAAGTGTTTTCTTATTCTTCTGTAGCCAAGTTCTTATAACATGATGATAAGTTTTCAAGTTAAAGCCCATGTAATGAACTTATAATTATTTTATCTTGCATTAGACATATCCTTAGTAACTAATAATAATATTTTATAAAGTTTAGATTTGAGACCATAATAACGTTTAATGAGTGTTATTATTAGTTATTACTTTTTTCGTCATAAATGTCATTAGAAGATAGGAAAAACTATAATTCAGGAGTGGAGAGTCGTTACAATGTTGCGATTTTTTTTGCACAAACAAAATTTATTATAGCAACTATGACAATTTGACAAGTAGTGTTTTCACCAATTTTTGTAATATAGAAAAAATTATCTAACCAAATATTTTCTAATTATCTATGTCATATCGTACTTATACACTCAAATAATTTGTATTTGTGCAGGTGCTTTTGCAGAGTGTATCAAAATTTGTGGAAAATCTGCCGAAAAACTATTGAAACTAATTATTAATGATTTTCCAAGTTTTCGTGACGAAGCTTTGTACAACGGAAAACGTGGTAATTATGAACAAAACACTTAATATTTTAATTTTATAGAGTAGACGATAAATAAAAACTGTTTCATTTGTTTACCCGTAGTTTCATACTTGTACATATTTGGTAATTAAATTTTTTTGATTCATTTTACTTCAAATCTTCATTACAAATCTGACATATACTTATCATTTCATCAGTACTAAAAGTCGTGTAACCAATATTTAAATTATAATACGTTTACTTTCTTGTTTATTTCACGATTCCTTTATAGTGTTAAATTATAAATTGATGTCTTACATAAATAAGTTTTTTCCGATCCACCAAGACATTTTCAGGATAATTTTGTGTCTTCGAGCAGTTTTTTAAGCATCAGATTAAATTTGGCATTTTTGTACACTCCCATTGCATAGTATTTCGTTGTTTTTCAGTTTTAATCCAATTATAGTTCATCGTCTACTCCCCAATAATTAATTTTTTTATGACTATTAAAATCGCAGCTCTAGCTCTTCCTTTTTTTCATTTTTAGTTTACCATTTTCCAGACCCAATCATGACTTTTGTCTAGTTTACTGTCTATTCGTTTTATTCACACTTTTCCATCCCAATTTTTTTATCGATTACACACAACTTATTTATTTATTTTATTTTACCGGGTTACCACAGACTTGTTCTATTCAAGTGATACCGTCGTCATAGTAAGTGACAAGGCCAACCACAAAGGGTGCAAAGACAAAAAGACCTCTATAATTTTTTTTTTAATTATAGTGCTCTACGTCCGGCTCCTTTAATAAGGGCACTACTATGGGCACTTAGCACTTGGGAAAGGGACAGGGAAAGGGATGGGAGGCCTCCCATTATTGGGAGGGGGTAGGGGGAAATGAGGCAATTTTTGCTGCGAGAAGGTCGCCTAAACCCTCCTCGAGGAGCATTGC